GTGTTCTATAGGTTCCATGCATAGTTGCATTTGTCATCTATTCTTATGATTCTACTGTTTGGGTTATTTTAGGAGAAATCAATTTAGCAGTGATCGCCGTGTAGAAGAAACTTGGAATTGATAGTTTATATCAAATATACTTTATTGATAATAAATGTATGTTCATAGTATACAGAAACGCCAAAATAATGGTATTTAACAGAAAACAAAAAAAATAATGCACTTTGGAGAAAAGGGAGAGGGCTTGAAAAAAATTGTCCCGTCTCCAGGAGTCCCTATGAATTTTGATACCTTTTCTGAAATTATCCAGATTTATAAAAAGAGATGGACCATTTTGTACATATACCAAGGGGAAACTTCGTGCAAAGCATTATTATTTATAGTTTAATTGAATTTAGTAGAAAAAGAAAATTTGGTGAAAATAAAACCAAGATTTTTTTAGAAAATCCACAGATTTTAAGACCGAGATTTTTATACGATTCCAATTTTTTTTTGGGGGGGGGGGGGATCGTATAATGGTATGATGTGGTTGTTGTCGTCTACCTCGTCCGAAGACACATTTGTAGTTTCTGGACTATAACTTGTGTGTAAGTGTATGGATCTCTCAACATTTTTTTAGTTATTCTAGTTTTTCAGACAATAACTTGTGTTTAAGTCACTGTATGGATCTTTCTGAAATTGTACTACAAGTTTCCATACTACAAAGGAAAACTGGGATCAAGTGTTGAGGTTATTGCTCCAAAGGGCGGGGGGGGGGGGGGGGGGTGGTTGTGAGTTCAAAAAGTTTGCAGGTTTCCAAATTTTTAAAAGGGGTTTAATTTTTTTTTCAAAATTTTTCAAATTTTAAAATATTTCAAAAGTTTCAAGAAGAAATCTTTAATTGCACAGTATTGCCCAATAGATTTGAAAGACCTTTACACATGGTTTGTGTCAGAAATTTGATCACAATCAGGGGTTAAAAAATCCACTAGCCCGACGCCCGGGACTAGACTTTTACACTTCGGGCAATTAAAACTTGTAACCGAATATGCCCGACGGACTAGTAACAAACAATTCTTGGCATTTCCAAAATAGTAAGTGGAAAATCCCCTCATCGCTATTCTATCTTAGCCAATCAGATTCAATTACGTACGTCATCCGGGATTCCAAGAATTTGAACCGATTTTGTACATGTTTTAAAAATAGAACAACTAACTCTGGGTGGACCGGTATCATGTATTGATCGCAATTCACGTACTTTCAATATCAATTTCTCAGTACAGGGGGTATTGTACATTGCTTATGCCGAGATTTTCAATTAATGGTACTTGGGTGTATGATGTAATGATCGATATTGACCTGTCTTGTCGGACAGCTGTTAATTTGAGCTTGAAACCATGCACAAATTATTTCTAAACATTTTAGTACGGCCACCACAGGAACTTTGTCAGTTTTAAAACGAAAAACGGTAGATGAAGGGGGTAATGAGGCTAAAAATTTATCCCAAAAAATGCCAAATACGACCAGGAAAAGCGGAAAAAAACATTTATAGTGTCATTGACAGAAAGATTCCCCATGGGCAAGGTCGACTGTTACTGATGATAAACAAGAGATGATGTTTTGTGAATATTGCCGTCATTTTCCCGATCTCGCTGATAAAAAGTCTGCTTTGTATGTGGGAACAAAAATATAATAATTGAACCACTGGTTTAACATGACAATATCAATGAACATGTTTTCTGTGCCCGAAAATATTTAACAACCCCTGGGAACAGTATATCTAACATAGTACAAGGGATATCCAAAAAGATGTCTAGAGATCCCTGTTATAATTAATAAAACAAAAATTCATTTGATTTATTTAATCAAATACCGTGTATAATGCCGGATTCAAAACAAGGGACATCCACTCTAAATTTGAAAGGTATACTCGGACTAGCAGGTCAGTTTTGATGGGCTAGCAGCTCTTTCAACAGGGCTAGTAAAATCCTGCTACCAATAAGTCCTGGGCTAGTGAGCTGTAACACATTTTTTTAACCCCTGACAATCCTAATTCAGACAGTAATAAGCTTGAATATTGTGTCAAAATTTGCCCCAACTGTTCATGGTTCAACTTCTGCGGTCTTTCAATCCTAATTGTCTTTCAATTTGTTAGTCATCTGTTTTTCTCTATTCTTCATATTTTTTTCTCATTATTCTATATTCTTTATTTTCTTGGCAGCTATTTTTTGTTACTTTTCTGGTCCTATGTTGTGCACTTTTTGTCCATTTGTGTTCTCTATTCTTCTATAAATCCTATCCAGACCCTCACAAACATACATAATCAATAAGTTCCGCTCCTATTACCTAACCCCACTTGACATGGATATAGATAATTGTCATCCATGGGGTTTTCTCATCCGTTTTGAATATAACATTGCTATTAAAACGGGTACGTTATAAAAAAAGAAGACGTGGTATGATTACCAATAAGACAACTCTCCACAAGAGAAATGACACAGAAATTAACAACTATAGGTCACTGTACAGCCTTCAACAATGAGCACAGCCAATATTGTATAGCCAACTTTAAAAGGACAACATACTAGGAGTCCATTACATCAGATATAACATATAGAGATGTATAAATACGCAGTCACGTATACGTCCGATGCTAAATTGTTGACTTTGTTGGAAGGCAAAATGATTAGCCCTATACTGACTGGAACTAGTATATATATAACTGAAACTAGATGAAAATCAAGGAATCTACACATGCTGTAATAGCAAATCTGAACGAACCAAAACGCATGTTTGTAAAAAAATAAATAATATACAACTTACATTTCAGCAACTGTTATATTAGTAATTATTAATGATGTAGTTCGTGAATAAATTGTCCTACACAGTGGAACAAATGGACAGTCTAAGTACGTTAATGTCTGGATTAATATTTCTGCAAAGACGTTGTCATTTTATTGTTTCCATTAACCGACTTAAATAAAAATCAAATTATAACTTTGTAATTATTATAAATGTTTACCTTTTGAAATAAATTTTGGTTTATTGAATATATTTACGGGAAAAACGAACTCAAATGTTTTATTTCCATGTATTTTATGACATATTAAAAAACATCTTTGTGTAAAAGAAAAATCGAATCACATCAAATTTTGATCGGCCGTAAAATAAACTTCACATCACTTTATTTATATCACAAATCAATTTACAAAAACTTCTCAACGATGTCATAATAGAAAGCACGAGTGATCTATCTGGCGGACCAACTTATGGCTAATGATTGACAGGTATGATTAGATCTTGAGGCTCCTATGGGGAACGTGGTGTCGAAAGGAAAATAGAAGATTATTCAATTATAATTTTTAGGACTCGTACGAAATGTGATCTGATATGGAAAATTTTGAGTTCTTTTAATAGCACAAAGAAATAAGACGTTAGAAGGGTTACAAATGTGTAACTATAAACCAATGACTCGTATGTAATTTACGGGAAAGATTTTATCAAAAGTTTGTTGAAAACTTTCAATTTCAAACCTTCTTGGTTGGAATGAATATGTTCGATTTATATGCAAATAGGTCTTTATTATATAATATATTTAAATTATCTTCATTAATTACAATACAATATATAACATGTATCTATGATATCCTCCGTAACGACTAAATATATGTACAGGTAAAATTAAATTCTGATCAATCGGGTACAGATTGATTTACGACCTTCCACTGGTATTGCAGAAGCAATATCACAGCAGGTGTTAAATACACTAGGACAAGTGTCAGATCAGTTTGACATCCTGCCCGATTACGGTATCTTCCGGAGACTCTATAAGTACAAGGACTGATTTTTTTTCTAAACATGACAATTGTGAAGAATTTTTTAAAGTGAGAACAAAGTTTCTGACCCAAACTATCGATTCACATTATGAATCTATCATGAATAGTAGATTAGTTTACGTTTTTTAACGTAAATACGATTTCCATTCATATATTAAAAAAATTGTAGTTGTCTTTTGCAAAGATAACACATGTATTCATCTTGTTCATTGGTCACATTAAAATAGATTTTTCTTTAATGAACAATGACAACATTTGATATTTATATCGTAAGTAACTTTATTATCAAAAACACCGTTTTATCTCGACCGAAAAGGGAAATAAGATAGTTTTTTTAATCTGACTGTAAACATTGTATATATCACAACGATCTATTAATAACCGTCGCTCACGCATAACGGATTCTATAATCATCTATGTACAACGATCTATTAATAACCGTCGCTCACGCATCACTGGTTCTATCACTGACTCAATACACACCCGTTTTATCGGACAAACGGCTAATTCCCGCCGACACGGAAAATCTCCGGATAACATGCATAATATTCTGTAATACAGCAAATTTACGATGAACCTCTAATTATTATCCGTTTCGCGGAGATTAGCCAAAAATCGCGGGCATTTTCCAAATAGGTCTACCAGTGAGAACATTCTTTAGTTCAACTTTTAAAAATTATTATGACAAATTTATCAGGATTTAGACCCAGATTTTAACAGTTTACTGAACAGGGACTTGGGATAGTATGAGTAGGGCATTGTGTCTCTTGTTTAAAAAAGCTCTTAAGATATAAATGAAATGACAACTTTTAAGAAAACTCTTTAATAAATGAATGGTATCTGTTGTAGTAAAAGAATAGAAGATGTTACTAGTATAAAGCAGTTTGATAATACACTTAAATAGATAAAACAATATCATAGTTGATATAAAAAAATGGGTTCCATTTTTAGTGACCATGTTATGATATATTTTATAGTCAATAAAAAAATGTTTAAATAGAAATATTTGTAGATTGAATCAACCATTGGAAGATTCTCACTTGATGGAACATAATATGACCATGAGTATTTATAATAATTTTATTTGTCTATAGCTATGGGTATGTTAAAAACTATTATTTTGCATACATATGTAGTAAACTGCAAAATCAGCAGAGTTATCTTTACTTCATAATATCTTTATAGCAACAAGCTGATGACAAAGCTAAACATTTAAAGGAACAATTGGAGAGACAGAGAAGAGAAATGGTACAGAAAGAAGAAAGATTGAGAAATCACCAGGTATGACATATAAAATATTATGATCGAAAATGTTTTTATCAGCAATTTTTGGAAAACAATAACTATTGATTATAGTGTAGGAAATTCTCAATCTGGCATTATAAATGAAAAATGATAAAAAAAATAATTTATTTTTATATAAATATGTATATGTGTCAAATTTGTAATTAAAAACAAACTTAAAAAATATCTGACGCATTATTTAAATTGGAAAAGATTTAATTTTAGACATATAAAGTGAAAATCTGTTTATGTATAAATAAATATATACAGCACAAACAACATTTTCCAAAAGACCAAAAAAGTGAAAAAGTATATTTTAACAAAACGCATTTGACTAGTAGGTGGAACAACTGATATTCCTAACATCACTGAAGAGACATTAATTGTTGAAATCCGGATATGGTGTACAAATTTTTGCAGGTCATGTTTGCGGCATACCATCTTTTCCGCAAGTTTATTGTTTTCTGTTTGATATTAAATTAATAATTAAGATCCATTTTGTTACATCTGGTGATCCGTTTATTTGGCAATCGCCAATGGCAGTTAGCAGGGTTTAAGAACATCCTTTGTTCGACCTGCTAGTCAAATGCGTTTTGTTAAAATATACTTTTTCACTTTTTTGGTCTTTTGGAAAATGTTGTTTGTGCTGTATTTAGACCCCTCTACCAAGAAATTTGTTTTGCATGCACACGTATAAAAATTGCGGTTTTTATCCAACGCAATCACAGGTTTGAACGTTGTTTTCAATTTAGACTTGTAAATAAATATATATATATATATATATATATATGGTGGCCTTCGGCTGTTGTCTGATCTATGGTCAGGTCGTTGTCTCTTTGACACATTCCCCATTTCCATTCTCAATTTTATTTACTAAATATGTGAAAACTTTACAACAGAAGTTCTCCATCAAATAATTGATTCTACAGGGATAACACCACAATTTATATATACTTTGGCGGCATCAGTGGCCGAGTGGTCTAAGAAGTTCATCTTAAGTATTCACTAGACTGTCATCCCTAAGGTTGTGAGTTCCAAACCCCCCTTGTGGCAGGTGCTTTTGACCCCTTTTTATGTCCAGTTTTCCTGCCGATGGTCTGTGGTTCTCTCAGGGTACTCTGGCTTTCTCCATGATATAGCCATCAGTGATGTTAAACACCAATCAATCAATATACATACTTGGTCCAAAATTTAACCCAAAAATGTAAGATCTGCAAAATTTAATTCTTCCCTCAGGGATTTCAACCCTTATTACATTGTGATAACACCACACCCACTGTGTCCAATGCACTAGTCCACTCAGCCCAACCAGGCTATATAAAATATATCTGTTTTTTAGGATGATAATTTTACTTACCATGCTGTCATATCAGTAGTATTTTATTATTTACCTCTAGATATGGGACAACTTTATGACTGACATTTACTAATGGAGCTACTAATGGTTAAACAGTAATAACACCACAGTTTAGACATTCTTCTTCTAAAATTAGCACAAACTATAGATAATATATAATTATTTATAATTGAAAATATACATGATATAGGTCACAATTTTTTATAGATTAAAATAAAGTAGCATAAGAAAATAAGATTTTGATAATTATTTTGAATTATTGATTTATTTTTTTCAGGTTCAAAGATATGCACAGGGAAAAGACAGGTATGTGTGTAGTTAACAATAGGAATTAAAATTAAAAAGGATATGTTGACAAATTTAACATTTATTTACGCAAGTCAGATTGCAGTTTTCATAGAATTGTGATAGGGTCATATAAGGGCTTTTAATTATAGACTCCAACTGGTTCAAATACTTTATTATATACCAGGAAAATGTAACTCTGCAAAATAATAGCAAATATCATAAGCAATTTTACAAATGTTACATAGCATTATTAAACACAAGCAATATTAAACACTAGTATGATTAAACACAATCATGATTAACTTGTGTCACAATTACAAATAGCTAATTTAAAAGTACATATCAAAGTTTTGGATTGCATTGCAATCTACACAACCGTGCTTCATTTTAGAAAGCGTCAATACGCTTTACAGTTTCAATGTAGAATTATTAAAATGTGCCGAAAGAGAAATAGAATAAAATACAATTTCATTGCCAATTTGGCTGTGAAAGCAACTATTACAAAATGAACAATCTATAAAGAATAAGGAATTAATCCTTACCAATATGTGGGATTAAGTTATCAAAATTCACTGCCATAAACACTAATACAATTATTCCAGGACACTATATGGTATGTTCTGAAAATAATATACGATTATAAATACCCATGTTCAAAATGAACATTCAAAATACTGTGACAAAGTCTTTTCAATTTCAGGCCAATTAAAAATATATAAATTAAGTGATATGTCATCTTGACAAGACAATAAATTAGATTCAACGATTTCAAAAGATACACAAGAATAGCTATATTTACAATAGATGAAATCGTAATAATTCTAAGCTTATAAATTATGAGATGCACTCTTAAACACTTAGTTACAAAAATGTGAGAATTATTCTAACCAAAATATGGTTCAAAATATATGAGCACAAAAAAATCCAATTGGCAGTAGTAAATTCAGTTGTAAAGTTCTTGTTCGGCCTTGTCCACTTTCTTTCTGTACTACATATACTGGTGTTTCTGTGTTGGGTTATATGCGGCAGAACTTGAATGTACTCACTGTACTGACCAATAGTACATGAAAACGTCATACCTGCACTGCAGTACTAACTGTACGGGGTTCAATACAGGATAATCATATGCTTCAATGGTCAATTATTCATTACACCATAGCGGGGACTTAATTTGGAAAACCGAAAGCTATAGCGTAATGAGTTCAGAAAATGTCTTCAAAATATTTTAACAACTTTAGATCAAATTAAATATTTTTATAGTGTATTGAAATAATTCGCTGAAATGGAAAATTGGTTAAGCTATAAAAATACAAAGTAAAATATAAAAAGAATACTATAAATCGCTGCCACATTATCACTGAAGTGAAATTTAGATAATGCAGACCAGTCAATTTGTCCAATGAGTAATCTACATAATAGGAACAAACTTTTACCAAACTTTATATTATGTCCAACAAAATTTGTTGAAATAGGAAAAATAAATTGGATATATAGTAGAAAAGTTGTTTGACTCTTAATGACATTTAATTTTTTTTTTATATATACAGACCAGGTTCAGCTCCTCCAGTTGCCAAGCCTGTTCCAGCTGTTGGTATTACTGGAGTTCTAAAGGCTATTGGTTCAGAGCCTCCTATACCAGAGCCTGTACAATCTCCCCCAGGAATAGGAATGACCGGTGCCCTCAAGGCTATTGGAGCGCAGAACTCACCAGAGGAAACTAGACCAAAGTATGTATATCAGAGGAAATTTTCTGCTTCATTCCGTTGTGAAAGTAGGCTAGATTTCAGTTGTAAAGTAAATTCATTTTCATATTTATTCTGATATTAAGAAACAAATTGAATTATCGGTAGTTTGCATATTTACACTTTATGTTATATCCAAGCTTATGTTTGATGTTGTGATTATTATGTTTGATGTTGTGATTAAAAATCACTGTTTGACCAGGGGCATCTGATTGTATCGCTACAAATGAGTTTCCTTATAACATATTATCTCATAAAAAAGTTAAAGAGCTTTACATATTCTAAAGACGTGTATTTTTCGTTCAATGCTGTGTGTTTACCTCTAGGTGTTTCTATGCCCCACCAAGGGGCATTATGTTTTTCAGTCTGTGCGTCCATTCGTTCGTCCTTTCGTCCATCCATCCATCCATCCGTCTGTCTCACTTCAGGTTAAAGTTTTTGGTCAAGGTAGTTTTTGATGAAGTTGAAGTCCAATCAACTTGAAACTTAGTACACATGTTCCCTATGATATGATCTTTCTAATTTTAATGCCAAATTAGAGTTTTGACCCCAATATCATGGTCCATTGAACATAAAAAATGATATTGCGAGTGGGGCATCCATGTACTATGGACACATTCTTGTTGATACTAAATTTACCCCATATCTACTTTCATTCATATACATATTTGAGTATATATAGAGTTAAAAGAAAGAAACAAATGATACTAATAATGTTTGATTTATTTAGATTATGAATATCTTGTTGTTATTTCAGAAGTGCATTACAGCTTAAAAGGGATGAGGTTCTAAAGGGAGTTAATCAAAGGGTATGTATTATATATGTTTATTTAAGAGATTCTCCAATATTACAATATGGTTTTTTTTCAATATGCCAAAATATAGTTTTTCTTATGGAATATAGAAATATATGGTTTGCTGAACAAACAGATCTTTGAAATCAGTCCTTTGAGCTCCAAAATTAAATATTGGCTGATATTTGTTACGGTATAATAACTGAAATGCTTTACAGGGACCACCAAGAGCAGGATGGGGAGCTCTTGATGAAAAACCTGCCTTTGAAATTAAAGAAGAGGAAGAACCTGAAAGTTCAAGGTCAAGATGGGGTGACAAAATAGATGACAGACTTAAAGGACTCCCACTTCAAGAAACAGCATCTGCTATGGAAGGTACATTACTTATATATGGACATGTATAGACATATTGTTTTTGTTTTATTTTATTGTCTGTCACATTTGTTTGTGAATGCACAATCTCCTTAACTAATTTTATGGTAATGAAAGCAGAGTTGACAAACTTACTTCATATATAGTGTATTTATGCATATATGAAAGTTTAAATGAAGTGGAAAGAAAGATTATTCGAAATGAGGATAACACCTTAAAAGCTATGGGGGCCACTACAATAATCAATAGATAGGGGGTACCACTGGGGTTCTGTTACCCCACCCCTTCCATTTAATTTAGATTTTAAAAATGTATACCTTTTCATATATTGCGTAGGTAAAAAGGTAAACTTTTCTTATATTGGTTGGGTTTCGTGTGGTGTGTTGAAAGAGTGTAGTGTTTACTTACGGTGAGACTTTCAGCTGTGAAAAAATTACAGGGCTTTTCATATAACAAGTATTGGGAACTTTATTGACCTTATAATACATTTCTGATAGTTTTCCCCACCTATTCACATATTTTCAAGCTGGAACATGTGACCTATTCCAGCCGCATGTCCTATCACCTTGTATATAGGAAGTGGCCCCCGAGCTTTAAAGTTACAAATTTGGCTTTTTATGCAGTAGATATTATTTTTAGCTCACCTGGCCCAAAGGGCCAAGTGAGCTTTTCTCATCACTTGGCGTCCGTCGTCCGTCGTCGTCGTCCGTCCTCATTAACTTTTACAAAAATCTTCTCCTCTGAAACTACTTGGCCAAATTAAACCAAACTTGTCCACAATCATCATTAGGGTATCTAGTTTAAAAAATATGTCCGGTGACCCGGCCAACCAACCAAGATGGCCGCCATGGCTAAAAATAGAACATAGGGGTAAAATGTAGATTTTGGCTTATATCTCTGAAACCAAAGCATTTAGAGCAAATCTGACATGGGGTAAAATTGTTTATCAGGTCAAGATCTATCTGCCCTGAAATTTTCAGACCAATCAGGCAACACGTTGTTGGGTTGCTGCCCCTGAATTGGTAATTTTAAGAAAATTTTGCAGCTTTTGGTTATTATCTTGAATATTATTATAGATAGAGATAAACTGTAAACAGCAATAATGTTCAGCAAAGTAAGATCTACAAATAAGTCAACTTGACCAAAATGATCAGTTGACGCCTTTAGGAGTTATTGCCCTTTATAGTCAATTTTTAACCATTTTTTGTAAATTTTTGTAATCTTTTACAAAAATCTTCTCCTCTGAAACTACAAAGACAAATTTAACCAAACTTGTCCACAATCATCATTAGGGTATCTAGTTTAAAAAATGTGTCCGATGACCCAGCATGCGAACCAAGATGGCCGACATGGCTAAACAATAGTACATAGGGTAAAATGCAGTTTTTGGCTCATATCTCTGAAACCAAAGCATTTAGAGCAAATCTGACGAGGATAAAATTGTTCATTAGGTCAAGATCTATCTGCCCTGAAATTTTCAGACCAATCAGGCAACACGTTGTTGGGTTGCTGCCCCTGAATTGGTAATTTTAAGAAAATTTTGCAGCTTTTGGTTATTATCTTGAATATTATTATAGATAGAGATAAACTGTAAACAGCAATAATGTACAGCAAAGTAAGATCTACAAATAAGTCAACATGACCAAAATTGTCAATTGACCGTCTTAAGGAGTTATTGCCCTTTATAGTCAATTTTTTACAATTTTCATAATTTAAGTAAATTTTTGTAAATTTTTACAAAATATTTTCCACTGTAACTACTGGGCCAAGTTCATTATAGATAGAGATAATTGTAAGCAGCAAGAATGTTCAGTAAAGTAAGATCTACAAACACATCACCATCACCAAAACACAATTTTGTCATGAATCCATCTGTGTCCTTTGTTTAATATGCACATAGACCAAGGTGAGCGACACAGGCTCTTTAGAGCCTCTAGTTATAGATATAGCCATCAATAAAGCCAATTAATTTATTTTTTACAGCAACTAGTGCCAGGGATCAAGTTATCCTGAATCCAAGTGATATAGCAGCTGATGCAGCTAGAAGACAGTGGGGCCGACCTGGAAGTACAGTCATGAATGCTCTTAAAGATATTCCTATACTTGAGGGAAGCAGTACTATGTCCAGTGATAAATCTGGTATATATATTATTTAGATTGAATTTCATAAGGATATGTGGGGTAGATGTGAAGAAATTACAAAAAAATGTATTTTCTTCCTGATTATTACGGTCCCTGAATTTTTTCTGGTCACATAGTAGTAGATCAAAGGTCACATTGCAGTCAGTAAAAAAAGATTATTTTCTGGAAAAAATTTTCCCTTCTGTCCATTGGAACTAAAAAAAATTGTTACATATTACACAAATTTAGTTATTAGGATTGATTTGATATTTTTGCATGAGTTGCATAATGTTGATCTGGACTGGAAAAGCAATTTTTATACGACTGTAAAAAAATTTTGCTGTCGTATATTGGTATGACGTTGGCGTCATTGTCGTCGTCATCGTCCGAAGACACATTGGTTTTCGCACTCTAACTTTAGTTGTGAATGGATCTCTACCAAATTTTACCATAAGGTTCAATACCACAAAAGGAAGGTTGGAATTGATTTTGGGGGTTATGGTACCAACAGTTAAGGAATTAGGGGCCAAAAAGGGGCCAAAATTAAGCATTTTTGTAACTTCCAGACATAACTTGTGTGTTAGTGTATGGATCTCTCTGACATTGTACCACAAGGTTCCATATCACAAAAGGAATGCTGGGATTGATTTTGGGGGTAATTGCCTCAAAATTTTAGGAATTAGGGGCAAAAAACAAGCATTTTTCTAGTTTCAGGACAATAACTTGTGTGTAAGTGTATGGATCTTTATGAAATTGTATTACAAGGTTCCATGTCACAAAGGGAAAGCTGGGTTTGAGTTTGGGGGTGATGAATCATAAGGGGGTTCAAAAAATTGAGGGGGGGATTTTTTTTTCCTTTTTTTCCTTTCTTCCATTTTAAATTGGTTATTTCTGATTTATATATAAAAGCAAATAATAATGATATGGTTTGAATAGGTAAATTAAAATTTTTTAAGTTCTTAGACCACATTCATTCTGTGTCAGAAACCTATGCTGTGTCAAATATTTAATCACAATCCAAATTCAGTGCTGTATCAAGCTTGAATGTTGTGTCCATACTTGCCCCAACTGTTCAGGGTTCGACCTCTGCGGTCGTATCAAGCTGCGCCCAGCGGAGCATTTTATTGTAAAATGTCAAGAATGTTTTAAGTCATGACCTGACTGATTTTATAGTAAATCCTCCCTTAAATTTTTCTGAAATTTCACATTAAAAATCTAGAACTTTTGTAGAAATCTTTGCTGGATTGCACAAATCATTAAAATGCCATTTAAATGCATTTTTGTTTCGCCTTGACCGAGTCAAAAAGCGAGACATAGGTATGCTGTTTCCAGCGTTGGCAGCGTCAACAATGTATTAGTTTGTGATAAGGTCTAGTTTTAGGTGAACCACTAGTGGTAGGTCAAATATATATTATTTGCAGTTGTATTAGCATTGGCACATCTCATTTCCATGGAGATTATTTGGCCCTGCCCTGTCAGTCATGGTCTATTGACTTTGAAACTTTTGCTTAATTTTCATGTATTAGTTTGTGATTAGGTCAGTTTATAGGGAACCACTAGTGGTAGGTCAATGATATTTGGTATGCAGATGTATAAGCATTGGTATAAATCATTTCCATGGATATTATTTGGCTCCGCCTCCTCAGTCATAGTCTATTGACTTTGATACTTTTGCTTAGTTTACATGTATTAGTTTGTGATTAGGTCAGTTCAAGGGGAGTTATTAGTGTTAGGCCAATGTTAATTGGTATACAGATATATAAGCATTAGCACATCTCATTTCCATGGAGAATATTTGGCCCTGCTCCCTTAGTCATGGTCTATTGACTTTGAAACTTTTGCTAAGTTTACATGTATTAGTTTGTGATTAGATCAGTTTAAGATGAAACGCTAATGTTAAGTCAATAATATTTGGTATGCAAATTTATTGGTATTTGCAAGTCTCGTTTCCATGGAGATTATATAGCCCCATCCCCTCATCATGGTTCATTGACTTTGAAACTTTCACATTGTTTAAAAGTTAATGCTTGTGTTTAGGTTTGTTTAAAGGGAACGACTTATGATAAGTCAATGGTATTTGGTATGCAGTTGCATTAGCATTGGCACATCTCATTTCCATGGAGATTGTTAAGCCATGTAGCTTCAGTCATGGTTCATTGACTTTGAATATTTGCATAACTTACATGTTAAAAGTATTGTTATTTTAATTTCAACATTTGCATTATCAAAATTACAAAAAGGCGAGACATATCTCTGTGTTAACAGTTTATAATTTTTAAAGTGTTAATTAAATTTGTTGTATTTTGTTAAACAATTTAAACAAGGTTAAGGTCATGTTTGTTTTACCCAGTCCTTATTTTTAACCTCCATAAAATGTCGTCACATGTAATCAATAGGGTGCTTGTGCCAAATAGGGCATGCAGATAGGCAATAAAACAAAGCGTAATAAGTTTGACTTTTATAACAACTTCTATCAAGACCTGTTGAATACTTTAGATTCATTTATATTTTCGTTGATACCAATTGTAGCTCACCTGGCCCTTTTCTCATCACTATTCATCCATCTGTCTTTTGCTGTCATTGTCCATTATCCTCCATCTTCAGTAAACTTTAAATGAACCTTCTCCTCGGAACCAAAGTTGACCATAATCATCATTGAGTTATATAGTTTAAAAAAGTGTCTGATGATCTTGCTTGTTAAACAAATTGCAGTCAAGACTGAAAATAGATCATAGAAGTTAAATGCAAGTATTGTCTATTATTTTGAATGACAAGATTTAAAAACTGTCTATTTTGATCAATATTATTAGACGACTCCATATTGGAGTGTTTGCCCTCAAATGATAACTTTTAACTTTTTATCTTGAAAAGTATTATAGATCAACAGAAACTTTTAATGCAAAAATTATCAACAAAGCAAGATCTACAAGTAATTCACAACATGGTTGAAGTGGTTAGTGACCTTGCAGAAGTCATTGCCTCTAAAGATGATTTTAACCATTTTTTTTTTGTTTTTGATTTTGCCTATTATCTTGAAAATTATATTATATAGAGAGATACTTTAAATGCAAAATGTTCTGCTGGACAAGATCTATGAATAAGTTAACATAGCTGAAATTGTCAGTCTTTTCCTTATAGGAGTTATTGCCCCTTAATGATAATTTCCCCCCCCCCCCCCCCCCCCTCATTTCTAATTATGGGGAAAACTATGGTCAATAAAGAAAAACTAAATACAACAAAAAAGGAGATTTTATGAATTAAAATCAAGTCTATATTGGAGATTGGCCATTGTTGAAGATACACATTGATTCAGAATCAGGTGAACAACGCAGTTTTTTTAGACGATGTAGTTTTAGATTGTGGAAAATTAAAATTATACTTTTGTTGATACTTGATTTCTCTGTTTTCATAAATTCATCATTTAAGCCTGTGGAAAACTTGTATTTTGTTGAACACTTCAATTTGTGGTTAACCTGTATCAACAAAATCCACTGAAATTAGTATCCCCCAATTCATGGGATGTATGATAATGTATCCACAATATACAGTCAAACCTGCTTGAAAGTCACATCTATTGGGGGGAAACCTGCCTCATCAAGTCATCCTTCCTTGTCCAGCTGTAGTAATATCTTTGCATTTTGAATCTCAATTAAAAGGTCATGCCACTATAAGGTCAGTTTTCTCTAATCAGTAGGGTGATCTTCAGATACAAAAGTTTTACTGTATACTGTTTTTAATTTGTTGTAGGAATGTATTGAAATATAGTTTTATGGTTCTTTTATATAGGTTTGAAATTTAATCTCCAGTTAAACTGGGTAGCAAGGAATATCATCTATCATTTGAAAATACTAACATATTGACAAACTTTTAATATGACTGTGTAATTTTTTTCAGAGCAAAAGGCCAACAATGTTTTCCTATATGTGAATTTTTTTTTTTTATTTTTTTTTTTAGGATGACTTACATAAACTAGTTGGCTTTAAAGGGAACAAAAATCGGTTTTTTTTTGTTTTTTTTTTCTTTCAATCTTAGGCATTTTTAAGCTTTTCATACATCCTAACCAGATCTGACAAAATAATTAATCATTTTGAGGTTCAAAGGTTAATTGAGACAGCTAAGGAGTGATGCCTGATGTAACTTTTGTTAAATGTCAGGAGTGGTTGCATTTCAACATTTATTTCTCCTCCTGAGACAAAAGATAAAAGGAATGGAAAACATGAAAGTTGAAGAAATTATACTCTTTTTTTTTTTCTTTTTTTTTACATCAACTTTTTATTGCTTTCTTTAGAAAAATTCTACTTTGATTTATCTAACATTTATATGAATTCTGCATTTGTACTTAATACCATATATTCAGGGGACATTTGATATCCTCAGAAGATACTCTTATAGGAAATTATGATATAATTATGTAATTCTCTAGATAGGTAGCGATTATCAGGTGGTCTGCATATAGATATTGTATGTCAAAATATGAAGCTTTTTGTTAAGTGAGCGCAGCAAACGAGTTCAAAAAGGCTTCATATCGTGTTGAGCAACTGATATTATACAATATAAATAAGATGACAATCTGATTGTATTTGTGTATTTTGCATGATAGAAAAAAAGGTTTTTCTTTGTTTCACCAGCAGGTCAAACTTATCAACGTCTGCTCATTTATTATGACGTCCATGATATGTCAAGTCAGACGTCCATGATATGTCAAGTCAGACGTCCATGATATGTCAAGTCAGACGTCCATGATATGTCAAGTCAGACGTCCATGATATGTCAAGTCAAGTTATATAGTCTGGGTTAATGTATTTGACGTCACAAAATTAAACCGTGCTATGCAATTTTATGAAGAGCTGAGAGGAGTGATACAGACATCAGAGCACCGATAATTAAGTCTCCCAAACGAAGTTTGGGAAGACTTATTGTTTTTGCTCAGTTCTTATTATTATTATTATTATTCTTCTTCTTCTTCTTCTTCTTCTTCTTCTTCTTCTTCTTCTTCCGCCGCTTTTAAATTTGAACTT